TTAAATAAAAAACTAGCTGATAGCTGAAAAGTTAGCTGATAAAAAATGACTTTTGGTAAAACCAGCTAAAAAGCTAGCTGAAAGATATAAAATTACATTAAAGGGCATTTAAGAGAATATGTTTCTATAATTAATTAAAGGGTATATTTGGAAAATTTTAAAAAAGCTCCCAAAAAGCTAGCTTAAAAACTACTTTTTGGTTTGTCAAACACGACAACATAAAAAAGCTCGAAAAATAAGTTAGCTTATCAGCTAGCTGTGGCGCGCCATGTGACATCCCCAAATTCACGGCCAGAAAAGACCGATTTGTTTATGTTTTATTTTATAAAATCAGAGTAATCATTTGATTAAAAGAGTTGCAGAATTCGTTCCCAAAACAAAATATGATAAAATTTATCAAAACATTTCTCAAAGAGAATGTATTTTCATTAAATAATAAAACCTCGGGATGTCATGTTCCGATACAGACCAAAAGCATAAACAGTATAATTCGACCTTACAGCAGTTATTTACAACTACTGGTCTATTATCCAAAATCTCTCGTCAAGTCCACCAACTTATACTCTTGTGCCATTACCTGTAATGCAAAGAAAACTGAGTGGGTCAGGCTTGGGAGCCTGGTGAGCATATAGGGTTTTCGACCCACAATAATATAATTATTATATTTAATCATCAATCAATCAATCAATCAATTAATCCAAATTACCCATCCCCATTATCTCCTTTATTTCTTAAGGATTTACCCTAAGAATCAATTATCCTTTATTCATTTATTCCTAAGGATTGACCTGAGGAAGTGACATAAAGTCCACCACTGCCAAGGTCCTCAAATTACAACCGGTAAACACTTAGTTCAACATACTTAACGAACACCTAGTTCTAACGCTCATAGTGAACACTTAATTCAAAACATCTGGTGAATACTTAGTTCTAAAACACTTAGTGAACACACTCAGTTCAACAACACCAAGTGAACACATCTAGTTCAAAAATACTTAATGAACACATTGAGTTCAAAAATACCAAGTGAACACATAGAGTTCAAAAATACCTAATGAACACGTTGAGTTCAAACACCAAGTGAACACATAGAGTTCAAAAATACCTAACGAACACGTAGAGTTCAAAAATACCAAATGAACACATAGAGTTCAAAAATACTTAATGAACACATAGAGTTCAAAAACACTTATTATTTCGTCTCACACCAACTATTTCATCTACCCATGTCCTACTCAACATATTTGTAGATGCAAACACATATACAGTTTAAATCTTTTAAAAGTTGTATAAAACATTAATTCAACATCCATCGCAAGTAAACAAACAATGTATAAACACATAGCACGTATTTCATAGCAAATACTTCATATCTATGCGGTAGAAGAAAGTAACTACACACTCACTTGATTAGACGATGCTCGGACAGCACTACGGCTCTAAGAGTAGTATTCTTCGGTGAAACTGGAATATCTTCACACGTCGGGCTTCTCGAGGGCAGAGCTTCGGCTCGAAAACTCTTTTCTTCTCGGGATCTTCGAAACTTCGGGACTCGCTTCGGGTCTCGGGATGATAACGGGGCTTCAGGGGTACTTCTTTGCACGTAAATCGAGGTAATATGGGTGAGAGAATGGTGAATTGGCAACCTTGGCCGGCTGTCCCTTCAAATCTATTTATAGGGCTGATTTCTCGATTTTCACGTCGTGAACAGTATTTTCACGTCATGGGCTTGATCGTAACTGCATGCGTCATTGCAAGTTGGGTCTGGCATACTCCAGGAGGCGTCAGAAGACATTTCACGTCGTGAACACTGATTTCACGTCGTGGTCTCTGACAGTTTTGGGGTTTCGCGCCCCGAACTTCAGAAATTCATAACTTTCGCATACGAACTCCGTTTTCGACGTTCTTTATATCGACGCGAAGGTCAGATTATGCTCTACAACTCTCGTTTACATTTTGTCGTCTAATTTTGAATTTATTTTTATTATATTATTTTTACTAGGTCGGGACAGGAAAACTCCGATAGAAAATCATAACTCCTTCGTCCGACGTCCATTTTCGTCTGTCTTTTCACTGTTGGACTACTATCGACGAGATCTTCAATTCTCGTTTAGATTGTTTCGGCTAAATATCGTTCGATCTCATATTCGAACTTCGGGTTGTACACTGTTAAGCCGAAACTTCAAAAAATCATAACTTCCTCATACGAAGTCAGATTTAGACGTTCTTTTTATGCACGCTCTCAGTTTAACGTATTCTACGACTTTCGTTTAGATCGCTAAGGCCAAATATCGTTCTATCGTAAATTCACTATTTACGCCGCACTGTGTCATGCCGGTTCTGTCGCGAAACTTCGACATGTCATAACTTCGTTATAACTCGGATTTCGGCATTCTTTATATATCCGGAATCCTTGTCACGACCACTACAACTTAGTTAAGATTATTTATTCTAAATATTCTTCTATTAAAAAGTCATTTTTGACACTTATCGTCTCTAAATTAACTAGCCCTGATCTACGGGCGTTACACGCCAAACACAGCCTTAGACTTATTAGTTCGTTGTTTATTACGTTGTATTATGTATGTCGAACCCAATCTTGGGAAGACTTCAAGAAATTGTTATGGTCACTATTTATGTTATGAAAAAAATTGAATGTTACGATAGAGCTTGGAGCCTTGGACAAATGTGATTGTAGAGAATTAGGGGAAAAAAGCATTCTTAAATTGAGGTTTGACAGAAGAAATTCGCAGATGAGAAGACAACCTAGGGTCAACGATTTTGATGGTTAATGTAGGCTGGTTGAAGGAAATGAAGAGGCAATATATTGGGGCATCCTTTTATTATTTGTCCAATATTGTTGACGACTTTGTTAAACATTAAATCGTTTGATGCCTTCAATAAATATTTAATTCAATACATATTAAACTTATTTTGCCATAATAGGGTAATTCTCCTTATGGTTTGGTTTAGATCGGTGATTTTGGGATTATGTAACTACTAACTATGGATGAATTTGTTTCATCGTGGGTATTGGAATGTCATGTGTGATATCTTAATGTTCAATTTACATTTAGGGTTTTCTCAATGAAGCAACATTAACACCCTGTTCCCGAGTTGTAGTAAAGAAAAGAAAGTAAAGAGAGAAAAAAAAAGGAGCAAAATTCGTCTTTTGTGTTCCCGAGTTGGAAAGAAATGGAAGGAAAATTAAACATTTTATTCTTTCTCTCCAAATCGGAAGGAAAGTGATCATTTCGTTTCCTTCCACTTCCTTCCTTTAATGAAACTCAGGAATACCAAATTTTTTTTTACTTTTCTCTCACTTCCACCAATTTCCTTTCTTTTCTCTCCTTAAAATGAACTCGGGAGCGGGGTGTAAGTTTCAAAAAAGGAGTAATTAGTGCCGGTATATATATATATATATATATTATATATATATATATATATATATATATATATATATATATATATATATATATATAAAACTGTGACGTAGATATAATAAACTTATACAGATTGAATATGAAAGACTTGATTATAGGAAGGAAAAAGAAAGGAAATGCATACAAGTAAGAGCATGTACATCGAAGGAAGAAAAAAACTATAAAAATCTAATAGTTACGTAGTTACATTGGTCGCATTTGCGGCCTTGATAGTAAAGAAGGTCTGAACCACGGTAAGTGCAAACAGGACAAGTGCACCAATTAGAGCAATTACATTCCAGGGATTATTGAAATATTTACCCTTCAAACCTGCAAGAGTATTGGGCCAGTAACTATTATAGTATGCATCCATATCTTTCCACTGATGATCATAAAAGAAATCTGGGATGCTAACAAATTTGACTAATCCATTTATCATATTTGCAGCATTCTCGTTCGAACTCGAAAGATTTGTAAGGACTTTTGATTTTACCAAAATGGCAACATCCTCCGGAGTATCAATTAGCATATCCATGGCATAAACATATGATGTAACATATTTATTAACATCAGAAAACTGCTCGTATATAAGGAGGTTCCGAAGAACCAATTCACTCATATCATGAATACAAACTATTGGCATCTTCAGAGTAGGCCATTGTAACCATGAAAATGGGGGAATGGCTGTGAAAATCGGTAACCATGAAAAAAAAGATGAGGGTAATTGTAATTCCAGTTTTAAAGCCATTGCCCAATTCTCATCTTCATTAGGCTTGAATTTCATCCCTGCCCTATGCAATTCCACAGCTGTGTGGCCTTTTGGATTTGCTTCAACAAACACTGATGGCATCGGTTCCACAGGCTGGTAATATTTATGTACAAAGTGAAGAAGATGATCAGTAGTGGAATCTAGGCTGACATTGGGTACTACAGAATTTGATTCAAAGACTTTGTAGTATCCTAGAAGTACGCTAATATGCTGGGTAAATGAGGAGTTGATGTGCATTCTTCCAGATGCTACAATAGTACAGTCAAATATGATTTTAAGAACAAAAAACGGGATTTGGTTTTCTATCAGTAGCAGGTCATAAACAATCAACGGAGTAATCATCATGTTACACCCGGATGATTTTTCTGATTCATTCTGAATGAACTCAAGTATGAAGCAACCATCTATTACCATCATCTTCGCAAGTTCAAGATCGTTGTAGGTCACTGATCTTCCATAACATTCCTTGATTATTTCTATTGATTGAATCACCTTCTCAACACATGTTCGGAGTGTTTGGTTTGGCACAGTACCTAGTCGACGCAACCAATTATGTAAATAAGTTTGTTTTTGAATCTCAAATCCTTGTAAATGTTCGTCATGTCTGTGAAGAGGCCCAATAGACACCACCTTCGGACTGAAACAAGTTGGGCTGAGATCTCGGATCGCACTAGGAACCATGTAAATTGATGGTGGCACTTGTTTGCCTAGAACCTCTCCGTTTTCTTTACAATCAAGTAGAAATTTAACAGTATTCCCAATGTTATCTACTTCTCCGGACTCCACATTTGCATCTTCCATTCAGAATGTTAGCTTAATTTCCTCTGCAACAATTAGATAGAAGAAAATGATTAGATGATAACAAAGGTGATTAAAACATGCAAACCACATAAAAAAGATGCAACTTCTGAAAATAGTGGGGTTACCTTCTTCTTGAATCGCTTCAATTGTTTGGTTTTGTAATGCAACTGTTAAACCTTAAATGCAAGTCTTAAGCTTTGATTAAGTGGATGTATTATTTATTGCATATAATTTTTAGTTGAACCCATGTATCCATGATGCTTTTTGACATTCTATTTTAAAACATCTCTATCTTAATATAAAAAATGTAAATATAATCTTAGAATATTTCACAATGTAATAAGTCAAGATTTCCGGAAGTCAACTTTAACATAGGCTCTTTTTTTATTTGAAAATGACTATATTCGTAATGTTGAAAGACCATATAGCTAATATATCTAATACATGGTTGGTCCAAACATATTCTAGGCATGAGACGGAAACAAAAAAAAAAGGACCATTTCATAAAAAAAAAATTTAAATAATGTATAATCATAAAAATAACCCGCATAAATGTGAGTTTACATCTTTATAACTAAATGTTGAGCCCATTTACATAAATAACCACCGTCCCAAATGGATCTATTTTGAACTTGTTTTGGACTAATTTTATGTTATATCAAAAATACATTTTCTAACATAAAAAACTATATTTTGGATTTCACAGCATTTTGTACAGAAAAAAAAACTATTTCGAATTTAGATGCACGTTCCAAATCAAAAATGTTAAGGGATTTATTTGAAAATTGTTTGGTGCAAAAAAAGACATTATATATTAATCAAATATGAAAATCCGAAATGCCTATTTTGTATTTGATGGTCATCAACCATTTTGTATTTAATCGTTATTTTGGTAACTTGGTAAAAGTTAGATTATTTGCATATATCTCGCATAATAATGTGGTCAGTTTTTGTGACTATCTCTTTAAATTAAATTTTAAATATAAATTTAATGTCAAATTTTGAAATTTGGTCTTCTAACAAAAAAAATAATACCAAAAGGTCTTTGGCCTAAGGAGTGATCATTTCAAATGAGATGTCATGAGTTCAAGTATTTTAGGAGACATAAGTGATATATAGAAGTAGGTTTAGATAATTTGCCGTTTCAAAATAATAATACTAATTTGTAAACAAAGCAATTAAAATAAGCACTACTAAACTAGAATTTGTTTTTTTATTTAATCGTGTTTAAATATTAACATTAAGAGTAATTAAATTAATAGAATTACTTGGAAATGATTGAACTAAAGACTCTTTTATTTCATACGTCTATTCCCCGAAACCATGTGAACTAGATATGAGATGTTCATAGGCGTCGTTTGATAGCTGCTAACTGGGTTAGAAGCATACTAAGTTAGAAGTTATGACCGAAACTTGTTGTTTGATATTGCATTTGACTAAGTATGCGAAATGACTATATTACACTTAAACAACATTTTTTATAATAATTAAAGATTTACCATTTAATTTATGACATTACATTTTTTATAAAAACATTCAATACTATTAAGTACTATTTACATATTAAATAAATAAACATTAAAATTACATTGTTTTAACTAAATAACTTCCTTCTAAGTTGCTTCAAATTGCTCTTGAAATAATCATATTTCAACTACTACTAATGGAGTGTTGCATCAAAACGAAGAACCAAAAACATCATGTATGTATGTAAAAGCATGGGGGAACAAAACAAAGAACCAAAAACACACCCATAAATGCATATCAAAACTTCCATTCATTCATGATAGGGTCATTTCTTCACATATATCTCTTCAATGTTCAATTATCCATTTTACCCTTCACTCCCCCTTACCTCCTCCTTTACACCTTTAGCTTCAGCTTTCCCTTTCCTCAAATCTACTTCTGCAAAAACAATAATCCACAATCATGAGAAATTTATACTAATCATCATTATAATAATCCGTCAAATACATGTATTATGAGTAAATATAAAATTGTTATTAATGCATCTCAAACGCCCTCCCTTTTTTCATTATCTCCTTATATGCATTCAAATCATGTTTTTTAAGGATATAATTGTAAAAGTTAAAAAACATATTAGTCTTTAAATTTTGGGATTTTGATGAAAACATACATGAAATCGATTGGTAGATACATAAAATCATAAGCATATCAACTCTAATTCCTCTCACAAAGGTCCGAAAACAATTGTCTACTTCCATACTTCCATAGATGAGGATGGTTAACACGAGCAGTTACATGACCTCCAAACATAAATAACAAGAAGAGGAGCATGAACTTTAATTACGAACCCCATTCCAAAAATTGAAATATGCAATTACAGTACATGCAGAAATTAACAATAATCGAATAACATCTACATTCATGGACTCAACCTATGTTTTTGTGTATGTCGATTTGAAGATGAAACAAAGATGTAAGAACATTCAACATAAGAAGATAGATTTCAAAAATAACAATCTTAACATTATATTCGTTCATAATCATACCAAGATAGGTTTTGTTTCGGATGAACTTGTCATAAACATACCAATATATTTTGTTCATACAACACCCAACATTAGAAAAAGATTTTATAAAAAAATGAAATACTTATGTGCAGGTCGGAGGTTGTGATAGGCAGAGGTTGCGATTGGCGGAGGCAGGTGGCGACGCTGGTGACGACGACGTCGATATGGCGATGAAGAAAACTAAAGAAAGTTGTGTGCATTGGTTTTTTCCTTTAGGGCGTAACAGTCAATTTTCGAGTCAGCTACTAAAAACTGATGGACTGGGTAAGTTGTTGGGTTAACCACAGAAGTCAACAGTGGTGACTAGTTTCACTGCTAATGCTCGAAAAAATGGCCCGCGAAAAGTTTCCTCCAACGTGTCGCCGCTAATTGTACACCGTCACCACTATTTTCATATTGTCGACGCTAAAAGTCATTGCCGCTAATGGTCATCGAAAACTAATCCCCTTCGGTTCATTCTTTCCCGTATCTACAACCCTTTTCTCTTTAGCAATTTCTTCGACGATTTGATAATGATTTCTTCGATTTCATCGGATTTTCATCGACAAAGACCACCAACAATCACCTCCACTACCATCGACGACAAAAATTATCAACGATGACCACCATAGTACCAACGACATCATATGTGCTTCTCCTCCCCCTTTTCTCTTTCTAATTATATTATCCCAGTAACCAAAATACCAGATTTTATACCGCTTTCACGATTTTTCAGCTTGTTCCACTAATTTCTTCTTGCTTTCGGAATTCTATCACTGTTGTTATCGGAGTACCGTCACTGCAACACCGACATCGTTCTTTGGCAACCAACGGGTTCTATATAATCTGATTTTTGGAATTTTTATATATATAATGTATATATTTATAGTGAATGTATGTATAAGTGTATACTATAATGGATAAAATTAAGCGAACATGTTGGGATGTTATTGTACTAGCTGTTCCTTCCAAAAATCCATCAGATCAGACACATATGCGGATCCAAATATTTTTCCTTTCTTGACCCCTCCGGAAACACCACACCATGTTTCATTATCCAAGAGGGGATGCCAACTAGTATCATCACCATACTTAGTCTTTCATTTAGTGAAACTAGGATGTCATTATAGACAAATTGTAACATCCGAATTTTCAGGTATATCATTGTAAGAGTAATTCTGAGATTTATGGAGCTACTCGACGAGTTGTGAGTCCAACTCGTCGAGTAGAGTCGAGTTATCCGTGTGGGTTTAATGAACTGACTCGACGAGTCAGTATGCCGACTCGCCGAGTTGGTGCTGTGCAAGGAAACCCTAAATTCCCAGGGTTGGGGCCTATTTAAGGGGACTTATAACCTCAAATGCGCCTCACCAGCTGCCCAACTCTCATGTGTGAAACCCTTAGCGGCCATTGAAGCTAAGAGAGAGTGCTTGAGCTAATATTGTGACGTCCCCATTTTCACAGCCAGAAAAGACCGATTTTGTTTATGCTTTATAAAAATCAGAGTATCTCTTTTAATAAAAACATTGCGGAATTTGTTCCCAGAAAAACATGATAATTTCATTATCAAAGCATTTCCGAAGAAATGTATTTTTATTCATTTTAAAACATTTGGGATGTCATCGTCAATACAGAAACATAAGCATAAACAGAACTTACATTCATTTACACTAGTGATCTATATCTCCTTAATCTCTCAGTGTAATGTAACTTCACCTCGTCACCTGTGATACAAGTAAACTGAGTGGGTCAGGTTGGGAAACATGGTGAGTACATAGGGTTTTCAACCCATAATAATATAATTATTATGTTTAATCATCAAACAATTAACCCAATTACTCATCCCCATTATCTTCTTTATTCCTAAGTACCTTCCCTAAGGATTTATCCTAAGGATCGTCTCCTACATCATATTTACCTCTCATCTCCTTACATTGCATTTCCTTATATGTTTGTTCCTAAGGACTCTACCTAAGGATCATCGCCTACATCGCATAGACAGTATTGATTCAGGGATTACTCCCTCAATACGTGCCCAACAAGGGTTAGGGCATCATCGCATGAATACGTAGTTACAACATCGCCTGAACTCATAATTCATAGTAAGGGGTTAGAGTATCATCGCATGAATACGTAGTTACAACATCGCCTGAACTCGTAATTCATCACCTACAGGTTATGGGCCTGCTGGTGTTTCCACGGGGTTGTCTAGAATAGTTCGTGGTCGCCATCTATACTCTGGTAGATGACTACATCGCCACATTGCCGGTTAAGGTTATGGTATCTCCTTTCATCCTACATCACCTATTCATCATCATCTATTTACCTAATTATCATCACCTATCTCTCATCATTTTATTTCATCACACACTAACTATTTCATCTACCCATGTTTCATCCGCAACATATTTGTAGATATAAAATAAATATATCGTTTAAATCTTTTAGAACATGTATAAAATCGTTCATCCAGCATAGACAGCAAGTATTCAAATAATATGCACACATAGCACGTAATTTATATAAAATACTTCATATCTATGTGTAAGATGAAAGTAACTATGCACTCACTTGAAAAGGTGGTGATTCCGAACTCAGACAGCGCTCCGCTTCTTAAAAATAATTTCCTTCGACGAAACCTAGTATTATTACCACTAGAGTTTAGTCTATTATTCGTCGAGACTAATTAATAGTCTAGCTATTATTACTATTATATAAGCGTTAAACAATACTTATATAACCCATAATAATAGCCCAAGTACTTATTATAAGTACCTAATAACGTTACTATAATTAAATAAAAGCTATATTAAAAATAGCGTAGGCGTAGCTCACTTACAGCGGGTTTTATAGAAAATCGGGCTTTGCTTGGAGCAGCGTTCCCGAGCCGAAAAGCTCTTCTTCTCACAGCCTTCAAGCACTCCGAGGCTTCCGCCTCGTGCTAGGGAGGTTCCCTAGGCTTTTCGGGGGGTTTCGGGGCTAGAGAGAGAGTAAAGAGAAGAAAGAATGAGAAAGGTGTGAAGAAAATGAGGGTGGGAGAGGTTCTATTTATAGGGTGAAAATGGCTGAACTTGGTGCCACATGTCACCATCTAGTGGCAAGACTTGGGGAGAAAGCAATGGCCAAGATTGTGCCACATCACCCATTTTCGCACATCACACTTCCGACTTCTAAAATCCGTAACTTTCACATACAACCTCCGTTTTTGACGTTCTTTATATCCACGCGTAGGTAAAAATAAGATCTACAACTTTCATTTTGACTCCGTCGGCTAATTCTCGACCGATCTTAAATTTAACAGTACGAGGAGATTATACTGTTAAATGTCCGCGTAAAATTCATAACTTCTACATACGGACTCTGTTTTCGTTTGTCTTTTTACCGTTGAGTTCCTATTAATGAGATCTTCAATTCTCATTTAGGTCGCGTAGGCCAAAAACCGCTCGATCTAAAATTAGAGGTTCGGGCTGTGCACTGCTAAGCCAAATCTTAGAAAATTCATAACTTCCTCATACGAAGTCAGATTTGGGCGTTCTTTCTTTGTATGTTCTCGGTTTAACGTATACTAAAACTTTTGTTTAGATTTCTAAGGCTAAAAAGTCCTCCATCGTAAATTCACTATTTACGTCTCCCGGTGTCGTGCCGGTTTTACCGCAAAACTTCGACGGACCATAACTTCTTCGTTATAACTCGGATTTCAACGTTATTTATATGTACGGAACCCTTGAGACGTATTCTACAACTTGGTTAAGATTATTTATTCTAAATAATATTTTTTTTCAAAAAGTCGTTTTCGACCCCTATTATCTCTAAATTGACTAGCCCGAATCTACGGGCGTTACAAATATCAAGTGTTTTTGGTGAATCTTTTGGAAGGAAAGGAGTGAGCAACAAGCAAGGAACGAGAAGAGGCTGTGGGTTCTAGCATTTCTTCACGTGGAGCTTATGTAGAAGGTATAAAGTCTACACCTTTCTCATCTTATTAGTTGGATCTCATGACTATGGAAGTTAGGGCTTTTTCTACCTTTTGTTGGGACAATAAGTGCATGGAGTATATTAGGAGGCCTAGACTTCAGATCTGGACCTTGTGAGGTCCAGAGAGTCCAAAGATTATAGCTTTATTCAACCATATAAGAGTTATTGTGGTTAAACATCCTTTTTAGAGTTATATTGCCATTTAGAGCAACATATGTCATGCATAGACATAAAGCTCGTGACTTTATGTGATAATCGAGCCCTGAGAACGTAGATCTAAGTTTGGGAAGTTTTTCTGCCTTGAAATCGTCTGAATGAGAAACGAGTCTGAATGGACTCGCCGAGTCGATGAGTCGACTCGACGAGTCGGTTAGGGTTTGTCCCGATGAGCTTGATCATGTGATAACTCAGCGAGTTGGGGGTCAACTCGACGAGCTAAGCTGGACCTTCACGAGGCTTCTGAGGAAACGAGTAGACTCGACGAGTCACATAGGTGTACTCGGCGAGTCGGGTCAAACATGGATTGTTGACTCGAGTTGACTACTGTTGACTTTAGGGTTTGGTCAAACATGAGTAATGGAGACCATGGAGGGGTAAAATGGTCTTTTACCCACTTCAAGAGTTAGAAAGAGGAAGAATAACCTTCGGTTTACTTAGAGTTGAGAATCGAGTATTTATTGAGATAATTACCCTATGTGTTAGGCGGTGGCTAGTTCGAGATTCGAGTGCGAGGATGATTGCTTGTTGTCAAGGTGAGACTTCTCACTATACTTACCATGAGTGGTGTCTTTGTGTGACGAAGATGTCTTATGTGTTTATATTGAGTACTGAGATATCTTGCATTATGTCTTTGTGATTTATGTTGTGTATTATTCTGTGCTTACTGAGTTAGGACCGGAGGGTCCACCTGAGTTATGGGACCGAAGGGTCCCACTGAGACACATTGACCGGAGGGTCTTACTGTGTTATAGCCTCAAGTGGCTAATGAGCTGTGTGTGGTATTTTGGGGAACTCACTAAGCTTCGTGCTTACCGTGTTATGTGTTATGTGTTTCAGGTTTTTCTCAGGATCGCAGGAAGGCACCGACTTGATTGTACACACCAGTGAAAGAGTTATGTTTTTGAGGATCCTAGATTTTAATCAAACAATTATGGAGTTGCGAGTTGTAAATTAATTAAATGAGATTTTTGTGAAATGTGTTATGAGAATTATGTGATTTTAAATGAAAATTTTGTTTGAAAATTTT